GTGGATTCATAGTGAGGCTTCTATTCATGTTGTCATAACTTTGCAGGGATTCACAAGCAAACGGAGGCCAAGTAAAGAGGAAGTCAAGCTTAAAGTAAGAGATAATAATGAAGTCCATGTTGAGTTCATAGAAACCGTTAGGTTAAATTTAGACACTGATTTTCAACTTGGTTTAGAAAATACTTTTTATGTACCGTTATTTAGGCGGAATTTGATTTCAGTTTCTTTGCTTGATAAAATTGGATATTGTTTTAATTTTAGTAATGGTAAAACTCAATTGTCTTTAAATTTCAAAATTATTGATCATTGTGTTTTATCAGATGGTCTATATAGTATATGTTTGGCTGTCAATAATAAATATGATTTTTCAAATATTGGGAATGTTATATCTAAGAGACCTTTTATTAAAGAAAAATCTTCACAGTTATGGCATAAACGTTTGGGTCACATTTCTAGAGAAATAATAGAAAGATTAATAAAGAATAATATTCTTTTTCCTCTTGATTTTGGAGAACTTGAAACTTGTGTTGACTGCATTAGGGGTAAATTGACCAAGACTAAGAAGAAAAGTGCAACTAGATCTTTTAGAAATCATTCACACTGACATCAGTGGACCTTACTCATATACATTGTGTGGTAATAAATATTTTATTATATTTATTAATGATTTCTCTTATTATTGATATATTTATTTAATTAATAAAAATCTGATGCTCTTAAAAAGTTTACAATTTTCAAGACTGAGATAGAGAAACAATTAGAAAAAGTCATCAAAATTGTTAGGTCTAACTGTGGTGGTGAGTATTATGGCAAACATGACGTGTCTGGGCAGCATATGAGACCGTTTGTCAAGTACTTTCAAGATTGTGGGATTGTTGCCCAATATATCATGTCTGGTAGTCCTGAGCAAAATAGTGTGACTGAAAGGTGTAATCGCACCCTTAAAGATATGATGATGAGCATGATGAGTAAGTGTAACTTACCTGATTATCTTTGGGAAGATGCCATTAAAACGACTTCATACATTCTTAATAGAGTTCCTAGAAATTTGTTCCAAAAATACCTTTTGAATTATGGACCAATAGGAAACCAAGTTTTAACCATTTTCGAGTCTGGGGTTGTCTTACTGAAATCAAAATCTATAATCCTTTTGAGAAAAAGACTGATCCTAAGACTACTCGTTGTTTCTTCATAGGTTACCCAGAACATTCTAAAGGATACCAGTTCTATTATCCTACACGTGGTACTAAAATTGTTGAGTCCTTAACAGCAAAATTTTTGGAGCTTGATGTTGCTGATATTGGTTGCTCACAACCTATTAGTGTGCATGAGTAAGATAAATTTATTTCTATTCATCTACATGTTGTGCAAGAGAATATCATACCTGTTCTTGTTATTAATTTTTCTGCTCCAATTGTTGATCCTCATGTTCCTGCAATTAAACCTTCTATTCCTATTGAGGTTCCTCAACCTTTAGAGCCTACTACAGAAATTTCTTTGAGAAGATCTACAAGACCAAGAAAACATGTTATTTCTGATGAATATTATGTATATCTTTGGAAAAGTGATTATGATATAGATGATATTGTTAATCCTGTAACATACAATGCGACTATTACTTGTCCTCAGTCTGATATGTAGGTAGGTGCCATGAAAGATGAGATGCATTCTATGACACACAATGAAGTGTGGGAGCTTGTGGAACTTCCTGAGGGATGTAAGCTTATTGGCTAGAAATGGGTGTTTAAAACTAAGATGGACTCTAAAGGTAAGATTGAAATATTTAAAGCTAGATTGGTAGCAAAAGGATATAACCAAAGGGAAGGTGTAGATTTTAATGAAACTTTCTCACCTGTCTCTACTAAAGATTCTTTCAGGATTATTATTGCATTAGTGGCTCATGTTGATCTAGAACTTCATCAGATGGATGTGAAGACAACTTTCCTGAATGGTGAGTTTAGTGAAGAAGTTTATATGATGCAGTCTGAGGGTTTTTAGGAGAATGATAAATAACAATTAGTGTGCAAGTTGAAAAAAGTCTATCTATGATCTCAAACAAGCTTCTCGTTAGTGGTATTTGAAATTTGATGAGATAATAAATTCTTTTGATTTTGTTGAGAACAAGATGGATCAATGCATATATCTTAAGGTTAGTGGGAGCAAATTTATTTTTGTTGTTCTTTATGTTGATGATATTGTGCTTGCAAGTAATGATTTGAGTTTACTTAATGAGATTAATCAGTTGTTGTGTAAAATATTTGACATGAAAGATGTTGGGAAAACATCTTTTGTATTAGGCATTCAAATTCATTGGGATAAGAGTCGTGGATTGTTGAGACTTTCTCAAAGGACATATATAAATTGTGTGCTTGAAAGATTTAATATGCATAATTGTAAGTTTGGGGATGTACCTATTACGAAAGGTGATAAATTCAATTTAAGTCAATGCTCCAAGAATGATCTTGAAGAGGAATCTATGAAGAATATGCCTTATGCGAATACTGTTGACAGTTTAATGTATGCACAAGTTTGTACTAGGGCTGACATTGTTTTTGCAGTTAGTGTTCTTGGCAGATATCTCTTCAAACCAGGATTAGATCATTATGTTGCAGTTAAGAAAGTTATGAGATACTTGCAAAAAACAAAAAATTACATGCTTATTTATAGGAGAGCTAATAGTCTTGAGGTGATTGGTTACTCAGATTCAAATTCTGTTGGGTGTCAGGATGATTTAAAATCCACTTTAGGATATATTTTAATGTTAGCTGGAGGAGCAATATCATGGAAGAGTGTTAAACAAACTTTCACAGCTTCTTCCACTACGCAAGCTGAATTTGTAGCTTGTTATGGAGCTGCAACACAAGCTATATGACTAAAGAATTTTATTTCAGGACTTAAGATTGTTGATTCCATCTTTAGACCACTAACAATTTGTTGTGATAATAGTGCAGCTGTGTTCTTCTCAAAAACAACAAACATTCTAGTGGATCTAAACATATGAAAATTAAATATCCTTTTGTTAGGGATCTTGTGAAGAAATGTGACATTGTGATTGAACATATTAATACAGAATCAATGCTTGCTGATCCTTTAACCAAGAGACTGATGCCTATAATTTTTAAGAAACATGTTGATAACATGGGTATTTTGGGATCTTTTGATATACTTGGTTAGTGGGAGTTTTTTTTATTTGTTAAAAACTTTAGTGTTGATTTAATTTCATGTGATATTTGATACTCATTATGGTTGAGATACATCTATTTGATAAATAATAAATATTTGATGATTATTCCTATTGTTAGCATGATATTCTTACTATGTTATATGTGTACACATTTATGACATGTGATTTTATACAAAATCTTAAGACTTGGTGTATGTCTTAAGTATGACTGTTTTGTCAATTGAGTATGTCTCTAATTACACCATTTGAGAAAATCTTGTGATTTTAAATTTTGAGACATACTAGCTTACTGTTGAAACTAATAGATTTTTCTAGCTTATTGTTGAAGCATGTTGTTAAAGAGAAATCATTTGGAAGACTGACAATAAAAATAATATGTTTATCAAATCACATATTGAGATGTTATTTTCTTACTACACTACCACATCTTGATTCATGTCAATAGAATTATTATTTTTGTAATCATAGATTGGTCTTATGTCAATAAAGGATGTAAAGGTCGCTATGATTTGAAAATAGTAGTTTTATTGGACCGGGTTGTATTTGAGATGTTGTTTCAGGACCATATTATTTTTTATTGTGGTCACATTGAATTTTGTTTGATTAGCTCGAGAGTCGTTTTCAAAAATATATATATAATTTTATTTTATTTCTAAACGACTACAATTAATATTGTCTAAGTGGGAGAATGTTGAAATTTTTCCTATATTGGACTGCCATTAATTAATAGTTTATTTTAGTTTGTGAAAAACGGGCTGAATTTATGGTCCAATGAGATGAGTTCAATATTATTAAGTGATCTATTTTGATGGGGTTATGTACATCTTTTAATTGATGTGGTTGAGGCGGTTAAGTGTAAGCCTTAATCTAATTGTGGCCCGTAATGGGAAAGCCCATTAGATTTAATTATAAATAGCAGGCTAGATCCCCTCTCTACTTCATAACCTTAATTTGGCTTGTTCCATTAAAAGCTGCTTATTACTTTGAAGTAGGAGAGGAAAACCTTGCCCTTCTAAAAAAAAAATCAGAGATCAAGTATCATGGCTCATACATGTATGTTCTAAATCTTGAATTTAGAATTTAAATATTGTAATTTAGGTGTTATAAATTTTATATACGAATCATTAAAATTCTTATAACCTAATGCTTGAATTAATGGGATCAATACTGGAGTGGTTCGGACCGGTCAAATATGTTAACTTTTTCGAAACCACTTTTACATACATAGGTCTTGAAACACCTATGTCCAATTAGAAATGATGGAATAAAATGAATTCATCGAACTCCTAATGATGACTCTGGGCGAATTTCGGACAAATTCTTTCATTCAGGAGCCTAAAAAAATACGATTGTCTTTTTCGATATTTTTCGTTGTTCAATAATGTCAGCATCTTAAGTAAAAATTAATCACTATCAGTTCTGATTTAATCTAGGTGATTAGCAATTTTTAGCAGTATAATTAGTTGAAAATTTTTATTTTTGGCAAAATCTATATTAATAGCCTAATTATGTGATTTAGGTCACGTTTTATTATTTCACTATTTATAGTTTTGTATGTCTTAAGGCTCAACAACTTTGAATTATTTAATATAATTGAGAAAATTTCTCTTTTATTCCCAATTCTTTTGGTATTCCTAAGAATCAACAGACTTATTAAAGTCTTTAGGCCTAGTATTCTGAATAAAATTTTAAATCGGTATTTATGCACAAATCAACGATTTTTTTTTATTCATTTTCATTCATTATACAATTATTTTACCAGCTTCCCAGCAATTCTAATCTTTGGTCATAACCCACATAGTGAAATTCTAATGGTAAAGGTGTTAAAAAATTCAAACTTATATTGAAGAACTTATTTCAACAACGAAATCAATCTTACATATTATTGCTTTATCCTTATTGCACCACTACTAATCAGCCATTTGGTAGGTGGCCTAATACATAGATTCCTAGCAATTTCATGGCGCAAAAGGCTGTTGATTGTAGCAATCCAGGTTGTCCCCGTAGCTCACTCCCAACATGTCACAATACCTCCTGTAAAATCCAATCCGATCAGCCACCTTATCATTGGCACCCTTGCCGCACTCGAGCCCGCCGTTAATGATGTTGGTGATGACACCAAAACCCGGAAGTCGACCGGCTGACCTATCGGCAGCAGACGGTGTCCATCTTCCTGTAATGACGTCATGACTCGACGGCTTGTTCGCTTGTGGAGTCATCCAGAACCATACGGCCGTCTTGAATGATATGATGGCGTCTGTAGCCACTAGATCAGGATTGTCTATAAGATCTGACCCAATTGCTCTTCCTGCTTGCCCATAGTTGTAGTTGCTGAAAGAATGAAAAATGCTATGGGGTTACAGTTCTGAAAAGATAGGTTGGGTATATTTTCTTTCCTGGTAGGAGAAATACATTTAGGACGAGCTAATTCAAACCCAATCTTACACAACTCAAATATAACAAGACATGTTACAATGGAAAGAGAGATTTGCAGCAAACTATTCATTAATAAACCAACAAACAAAGACAAGTGGGCTTACTGAGTGAGTTGGATGGGTCCTCTGCCATAGTATTGTTTACCAGGAGGGCATGGCCAGTCTGGGGAAGTACAGAAAGTACCTGGGTTGTTTCTTTCCCTAATGAAGCAATATCCCCATGCATATGGACCATCTGGTGCCGCAGGCCAGCCACCTACACAGGTTAATTAATCCATTTCAGCAACAAACAAACCAGAACCATAGGGAATTTTTGGTATGATGAACAAAATTTAGAATGATTATGACCAAACCTGTTGTTTCATGAGAGGTTTGAGCCAAGAATGCCGCAAGCTCCCTTTTACGCGTATTCGTGTCACCAGTTGTGCCAAAGCCATTGAAAGATTGTGCAGCATTGATAAAAGCATTGTACGTATAGAAGCCGTTACTGGGGCACCTTGCATCGTTTCGATATTTAAGCATTTGATCGAAGAGAGACGAGCTAATGAGGGAGGCGACATCACCACCGCTGCCACCACCTGGGGATGGGGTTGGGTTGGAGGGTGTCGGAGTTGCACCACCACTGCATTGGCTCTGGCAATTCTTTGTGCAGTAGTCAGGTGTGGAGCCACACCACCCAAATTCACTGCAACACAGCCCATTTGGGCATAGAGCACCCCCAGCTTGTCTACCACATTGTTCAGCTGATATTGAAGAGAATAAGGCTAGGGAGAAAACAATTAGAGTCCAAAACCTCATCCTTGTTTCTTGGTATGTTTTAATTGTATGGTTCATGGATGAGAATGGAAGGATATATATATATATATATAGGATAATTTTTTGAGAGTGTCTCAACAATTCAAAGTTGGTAGGCTGATGACTTTGACTTCATGGGTATGCAATATGTATGACTTTTCAGGCCATCGTTGGGAGTCCTATGAGAAAATTTGACTCGTTCAAGGTAGGACCTGACATTGAGAAATGAGAAGTTTCTTTCTCGAGATAAGATGATAAATAGTTTAGTTTTGGTGTGAATGATCCTTTTGATCGGATTAAAAAGAAAATTAGTTGAAGTGCATGTAAACTAACTTGAATATTTTTGACCGTTGAACGAAAAAAAAAATTATAGAGCCATAGAGGACTACAGAAAAATCAACAAGCATAAGGTAATATTGTTTAATCATATTAATAGAGAAGATTATAATCACAATAGCGGAGAGTCTCGTAGTTGCAAAAGCTAGAAATAATGTGGTTTGATTTGAATAATAAAGAGTGATTAGTGAGAGATTAAGTGCTTTGGTGGCATTGCTAATTAGGATTATTTCTTTCTTGTGATATCAAATAGCAGTAGAGTAGGATCATGGTGTAGTAACGCTGTGCCCATAATTTTACATTTAACGACAGGTACAATGGATTAACAAATGCAGTTAATCCAGAAAATGATGCATTTCCCCCATAAAATCCAACAAATACCCAAATTCCTCAACTCTCCCTGACTTCCACAACTCGATTAGAAGAGAGAATCCAAGAGGGTTTTGGCTTTTTAGAGGTTGGGTTTTTTCGGTTTCAGGTGGTGGGGATTTCGGATTTTGTCTTTGGGGGACTTTTCGTGGGAAAGTGATAGATTTCCAATCTTCTTTTCTTCTTCTGTTTCCCACATATAATCTGTCGCTCAAAAGAAAATGCCCATAAAACCAAGGCGGTAGTACTGGGGACTATTTGGTAAGCCTGTATGCGGGGCTGGGAAGATTGGTTTGCAAAAATAGTCCAATAGACCTTCAAACCTCAAGATGGTATAAAAAATTCAATCTCAGGTTTTTAAACTTGACACGTAACTGGCCTAAAATTAAATATATGATCATAAGTTTTGTCAAATCCAAAAGGGTGGATTTGAAATGATGGGTAAGGGGTTAAAATTAAACCTATGATCATGAGTTTTGTCAAACCTAAGGGGTGGGTTTAGAAAGATGGGTAATTGATTATGATTAAACCTATGATTATGTGTTTCGTCAAATCTAATGGGGTGGGTTTGGGAAGATGAGTAACGAGTTAAGGATTCAAAAGATAATTGTACATTTTAACATAAGTATGAATTAAATTGATCAATGGTAAAATAGTCATTTATATGACAAATAGTTATTAATAATTATAATATATTCGTGAGTTCTACATGTGTATGTGTTGAATACCAAATATCAGTATGAACTGGATTGAATGTTGAATCTCATCTTTGCAAAAAAGAGTTTGAGTTTAGAAGAATTTATAGAAAGGGTCTTTTAGAAGCCGGGACCAAATTAGATATAATTGTAAAAAAATAAATAGAACAAAATATTTTTAAAAAAAATACACAACTGAGATACAAAGAAGTAAATGCTTATTTTGTAAAATTTTCTTTCCTAAAAAATTTAACAAGGCATTTATTAAGCGCTGAAATTTAGGGTCATTTAATTCAAAAACTCTTATCTTTAATGCACCTTGATTCATGTGTATTTTATTTTTTTTTGGAAAGTAGTTTTATTTTCAAATTATATTTATGCATTACATATTTACTACTACTAGTTTTATAGAAGAATTTTAATATTCTGTTTATTTTTAGAATATATTATTTGAATTCCAAAATTTGTTAATATCCGAACTCTATAATAGTGTAATAAAAATAGTACAACAAATACACTGTAATAAAAATATTATTCAGTAGTTTTGTGCATGTGGTAACAAATTCAAAACGGAGATTGAGTGTTTTGAATGAAATTATATGAAAATATATGTTTGACAAAATGTAATAGTATAATATTTTGTGTAAATGACTTGTTATACTGTTCAGATATTAATATAATTTGAAAACAAAACTATTTTAAAAAAAAATAAGCATGTATCAACGGATGACATACAAATATGAAATATTAAAGTTCTCCTATAAAACTAGGAGATGTTTAATACACAATTTTTCAAAAAAAATACATATGGATCAATGGAGGACAAAAATGTCACAAAAAAACAGTAAAATTCAAATAATGAACTTATATACAAATAAGTATCAAAATTTAGGACTTAATTATCCAATATTTTTTTTATGTACTTTTTTTACAATTAAATTTTATTTGGTGTACCCCTTCTAATTTCCCCCTTATAAAAATCAATTCAAACCCCTACTCAAAATTCATTCAAACAAGCTGTTGGTCGTCTTTCCTAGGCCATAGGCTTTAAGCCCAGCTAATGAGGCACAGTTCCACTGAAGGTCCATAACACAGTAGCATAGACTTACTGGGCCCTTTGGGGGTAGCCCAGGGATTTGACCCACTTTCAAACCCACCTCCAAATCTAGGTTGATTCTTAGCCCATAGGCTTTAAGACCAGCTGATGCAGCACAGTGCCTCCGAAAGCCTATAACACAGTAGTACAGGCTTACTGGCTGGGCCCTTCGGGCTAGCCAGGCGTTTTGGCCCACCCACAAATCTAAGGTTTAAATCTTGTGAAAATTGAAAATGAGTATCCCTACGTGTACTTGTTTGAAGATAAGTCCTACAAAAAAATTTATAGGGACTAAGTCTATGTTTAAAATTATATGTAATGACTTAAGTTCACTTTTTTTTATCTCAAAAATACTCTTCCTTGAAAGAAAGTTAAATTATTTTCCTATTTTAAAAATTGTTATCATTTAATTCAATGTCAATTAAAATATGTCAATAAAATCTCCATCATAAATTTAAAATTCAAATTCAAAGCTCTCTCTCTCTCTCTCTATATATATATATATCAATTCAAAGCTCTCTATATATATACTCTCTCTCTTTCTCTTTCTCTCTCTATCTCTATCTATCTATCTATATATATATATATATATATATATATATATGCACACACGCTAGTTTGTTATGAAGATGATACAAGTATAGTGGCTTTTGTGTGGTGGTGATGGTGTGAGTGTTGTTGTATAGGTGATGACAACGTGATGGTTGGCGTTGCTTGGGAGGTGACGATGGTGCGATGGTGGCAGTGCTATGGTGAGAAAAGTGGTAGCCGAATATATATATATGTATATATATATTCAAATTCATGTTACTATTTTTTTTATTATGTTACTGTTCATGTTACTATTATTTTGAACATATTACTGTTTTTGTTGAGCATATTACTACTATTATTTTACTAAATATTAATATTCAATGTTACTATTTTTTTTTTGAATGGTACTATTTTTTGTGTTTGAATTTGAAAGGAATAATTATTGTTAAATATGTTACAGTTTTTGTTAAGCATGTTGCTATTTTTGTTAAATATGTTAATAGTTTTGTTATTTTTTAAAAATATTAATATTGAATGTTTCAATTTCTTTTATGTTTAAATGTTACTATTTTTTTATGTTCAAATGTATTATATTTTGTGTCAAAATGATAACTTTTTTTTGTATTTAAATGTTACTATTTTTTATTTTTAATATTACTATATATATATGGATATAGATAGATATAAGAGAGAGAAAATTTTAATGTTAGTCAAACTCTTAACTTATATATGAATATAGATAGATATGAGAGAGAAAATATTTTAATGTTAGTCAAACTCCTAAGATTTAAGAATTTTTAATTTTTAATTTTATTTCACTTCTAAATGGAAATGATAGTATGCTAAAATTAACAAAAAACGGACTTCATAATAAATAAGTTTCCTTGACGGACTTAAACCCAAACAAGTCCATATACGGGGACCGGCCTCCAAATTTTTCTTAAATCTTTAAGTTAACCTCCTTTAAAAATTACAAAAAAAAATGATAATTTCATCACTTAATTAACATCATCATAATAATGTACTTTATTCTCTATAAATAAAGATCTTTAGATAAGTGTACTAAAAAAATATATAGATTGTCAGACAAGAATACTAAAAAAATATGATGTACCTTCTTTTTCATAATCAAAGATCTTCAAATAGGTATACTAAAACACAAATCATCAGACATTTACGCTAAAACACAGATTGTCAGACAAATACATTAAAACACAAATCATTAAACAGATACACTAAAACAAAAAATCGTCAAATCCACCTTAACATGACCAAGTTTCAATATCAAGAAGCAAAAAAATAAAAAAATCTAAAAACTAGCCACCTATTATCAAACTTTCAAATTCAAGAGCTTAGAAATCTATAACAATCAATCAAAAACCCCTAAAATTTGTTCCACTATATTCAAACCCTAAACTGAACTCAATATAAGCAAAATTAATCTTCCTCTGTTCTTCTAAATGCCCACTTGTAATCCTTTCATTATTCTACCTCTTCCTCGACAGTGAAATCATTCACAACATTAAATGTTTGATGAATATGGTTAAAGATGATTGCTCTTCGAACATAATTCTTGATTTAGATCGTAGAGTAATTTCAAGAAGTACGCAGATTCAATGATTTTAAAGGAAAATATGAAAAAGTTTGATTCCAAATTTGTCGAGAAGAAATACAGATCGTTAAGTTGAAAATTATGTGATGAGAACAAAATGAGTAACGAAAACACAATAATTATCCCACCTTTTACTGTTCCCGTAATGATAAGGACTGCAAGTAAATTATTTCAAAACACGAAAGACTTTTTTTTATACAAAAAATTTGATAAGACAAAAGTTAGTTTACACACACAAAATGAGAGAGACACTAGACTAATTTACTATAAATCTTTTTACTTGACAGTTGGCCAGAACTCTAGTACGGTGCGTCATTGGAGTTTGGTTTGTTTGTTGATTTTGTGAATTTTATTTTTGAAACTTTAAAAAAATTAAATCATTTGATAAAATGGAAAAAAAAAATGGCGACTAAATTGATAGAAGGATTACTGATTATATTATCCATTATTATATTTCGAGATTTTAAATTTTTATAATTATAATATTTTTTTATTTTAAGATTCAACAACATAGCGGTAGTCATTAAGCCAACCGTTAATATCTAATTATAAATTTGTTTGACAACTTGATATTAGATACTTCTATACTGGATGTGGTATGCAATATCTCTTAGGGATGGATTATAACTAGGCCATGATCTTGTTCTAAGTGAAAGGTCCAAGATCACTTCCTCACTCTCTCTTTGGGTCAGTCACCGATTAGATTTATCTTTATATTAGTTTACACAGTGTAAGCTAGTTAGCCTTACAAGGGGCGGAGCAAGAAAAAAAAATTTAGAATGAGTACATTTGTATGTTTTAAATTTTTTTTTAATTGATCGTAAAAATTCATAAATTTATATTTATTAAAATTATATTTAATACTTAAAAATTCAGTAAATATAGAAGATTAAAAACCAATAAATATAACATGAACAACAAAAATTAAAACTTCTTATAAAAATGCGACTAATTATTATCACTTAAAATTGACACTGATATGTTTTTATTATTTGAAAGAGTTACAAATCAATTTTATCAATAATATTTTTTTTATATATAAAATCATAATAACAATCTTTCATTTATAATTCTATAGTTTACTATATAACGACACACATTTTTATTCAATAACGAAATAACCCTAAAATTTAAAAAATATATAAAATAATCTCAATATGTTCAAAAAATATTCGATCATGTCTAAAGTGTGTCTAAAAGCTAACAATAATATTAATTCCATCTAATTTGAGATTTAATTGGTGGAGACATAATTATTTGTGACCATTGAATAGATAGTAGAGTTTATTAAATATTAAAACTCACTATTAAATTTAATATCACAATGTATTAGGTCTTAATAACATTGTTCGAAAAATTAACAATCATTTAGTTCGGGGTTTATTCAAATTGATATTATCAGCACACAATATTAAGGTGGACATAATTAACTATATTTAAATTTTATTTCAAAAAATACATGCCTAATAAAAAAAAATAAAAATAAAAATTGAGGGAGACATGTGTCTATCTTAGTCCAAGGATGGCTTCGCCCTTGAGCCTCACCCTCGTCAAGAGGACAAGTTAACAAAAAATCCGACATCCCGTAAAAGAAAACAAAAATGTAACCAGAAATTAGCACAGCTGGTTGGCGATTGCAAAAGGTTTGTAGTTATTTGAATGTCACAGGTTCTTCCTGGTCAGGAGGTCATCTTCAAAGTTTGAAAGCAGCAAATGTTGAGAGCCTAAAATTATGGTAAATGGATGGAGAACAAGTGACTGAATGACTGGGGCAAGGAAAAGTCATTTGGGTTGACTTGAGGTCAAGATTCTTAACAACAATTTCTATATTTACTTCATCATTTCTTCTACAAAGAAAATGAAAACGCGTAGAATGGCTTTGAATCTTATGAATCATCGTAGATTTTAAAATGGTTTGCAGGGTCTTCGGCCGTTATAGCTGACCACTTGACCACTGAAACAATTTTTTTTTTGTCTTTTGTTCGAAAACATAGTGTAGTTTCCATAGATCTCAAGACGATGAACAGATCAAAACATCATTAAACATGATAACGGTGGTCAAAAATATGAAATCTAAACTGAATCCTGTCTGAATACTTCGACTATTTTTTCATATAAACGAGTTGAGATTTACAAGTTCGAAGCAAGTATTTTAGGTTTATTTTTTTAAATAAACTTAAAAATTGTTTAAATTCAATTTATTTACAACACAAGATCAAACTCGAATCGGATCCTATTCGAACTAAGTCTTTAATATCTCGGTTCAATTGATAGTCATAGCTAGATATATGACCACTCGGGTAAAATATTTTAAATCATCGGTTATAGATTTAAACTATTTGCTGAATGGGAATTTGTTCGGATTATAACCATTTTTTGTTGAAAAATTAAACGAATGCATCTCAAAAAATGAAGCTTTAAAACATTAAGTAAATGAGGGTACGTGAAACTATTAGAGATGGTTCAATAGTTAAATTTGAACTTCAGTAATTTAAAAGTCTTGAATTTAATTCTTTTCTACACATTTTAAGGACTAGTCACCTTTGTCTCTTTAGGGACATATTCTAACTTAACTAAAGTTATATTAACTAATTGTTGAGTTCAAGAGGATAATCGGCGTTAAAAAAAAAAAAAAATTCCTGATTTTAAGGAGAAACCAGGAAGCAACGGAATGTCTCTAGTCCTGAAGACCAGTTTATTCTCTGGGACAAATGAAGCGTGTGGACCTACCCCTATCAACAACTTTCTATTTCCTCTCTCTCTCTCTCTTCTCCGTCCTTATTTAGCTCCGAAACCCGATGATAAACTGATTGTGTTTAGTCCTTTGGTGGTGGTGAGAGGTTACAATTTTCATCAACCACCATAAAGAAGATATTTTTTCAATACTCACTAGCCAAACCTAACCAGTTATCACTAAGCTAGCCACTATATAACTCACAAACATGTCAGTGCTCGAGCTTCCGGGGTTCAGATTCCACCCAACCGAGGAGGAACTTCTTAACTTCTACCTGAGAAGGATTGCCACAGGCAAAAAACTACATTTCGATTTCATCGGCCTTCTCTACATATACCATCATGAACCATGGGAGTTGCCTGGTAATCTTTTTTTTTTTTTCCTTCAGTCTGCAAAAACAAATTAACTTGTAGCCTACTCCCATCCATACTACAAGGATTAGGGATGATAACCAAAAGAGTGTGATTGCAGTATGATGTTGGATAAACAATGTTTCAAATATATATGTATTCTTTATGTATGTCTATAAAAAAAATCAAAAAAGTGTGATTGAATTTGTGTTGATGATAGTCAATCCTCGTCTAACTTGTTTATTTGATACTGTGAGATCACTTGGCACTAATTATTTATTAATTGCGCCATTTTTGGATTGACATGTATAACTAGTAAATCATAATTTTCGGGCTAAGGCTTCATGCTCTCTCAATCAAACTCATACCCTATAGGTTCCAATAAGTTTGTCCCAGGTGTGTGAATTTTCTTATATATTCAACCACATATTACAGGAGGGTGTGAAAGGATTTTTTGGCATTGGTCATTTTTCTATGAAATATCGATTCTATCAATCATTTCATTTCAAGTAACAAAATGTGATAATTCCATGAAAATAACGTTTATTTGCAACGTGCAGGGTTGGCAAAGATAGAGGGGAGAGAGTGGTATTTTTTTGTGCCTAGAGACAAAAGGCATGGCCATGGTGGAAGGCCCAATAGAACCACTAAGAATGGATTTTGGAAGGCAACCGGTTCGGACCGTCAGATCCGATGCTTAACGGAGCCCACGAGTGTTTTAGGAATCAAAAAGACACTGGTGTTCTACCAAGGGAGAGCACCTAGAGGGTGCAAGACCGATTGGATCATGAACGAGTACAGACTTCCTGATAGCTTCCCCTCACCTAAGGTAAGCTGCTATAGATTTGGCTTTTAAATCAACTGGACAAGTCAAATTAATTAGGATAACGCTACGGTACCAGAAAGACTCCAAAAATGAATGCATGTAACTCATAGAACTTTGTTAGGTTATTTCGAGCAATTATTCAAGAAAATAATAAACTAAGAAGAAATATTAGTATAATATTACTTTCTACATGTCTTGTAGTAAGATACACCCAGTTTAAACCTAAGGATAAAGTAAAATATCAAAGACTACTGCTAGACAAATGAAATGAAATTTAAAAAATTACAATTCATATGCAAATCACCTCTTAGATGAGTAAGTCTTATTAACTTCTTTAGTGTGACTTATTCATGCAATACTTATCCAAAAGACGATATACATTTTAGTTATACTTTTTGGGTTGTGTAGTATTTTCTAAAATCCAATAGTTGAGAGGTAAAGTGAGATTATAATGGTAGTTTAAGTTTAGAACTTGTATTTTACCCTAAATTGTATTGTAATATTCTCATTCACTAACAGTACATGATGAAAATGCAGGAGGATATAGTACTTTGCAAAATCTACAGAAAGGCAACGTCAGTGAAGGTTTTGGAGCAGAGGGCATCTATGGAGAACCAAGTTAGGATAACCCATTTGCCACCATCATCTCCTCTTTCAGAGGACACTCTCACCTACTATGACCACCCACAAGAAAATTTTCGGACACCAATGCCTTTACAGGACCTTACTGTCAAGATAGAAGAAGAAGAGAATAATAAACAAAACTACTACTCCCTCTGAAGGATTTCGTTTTGCCAAAGAGAACTTGAAGGAGCTCGAAGTGCCTGAGTTTAATATGGACTTGTTGGTGGAACCATTGTTGAACCAGTTTAGCCCATGGCTAGACCAGTGCTGGAGTCCCTATTATGCTAATGTGCTTAACTTCTAAAAAGAAGTACAGAAGCACTCAAATCTTAAATGGTTTGATGTATGCAATTTCTAGGGCTTTTTGTGGATTAGTGGCAAATCAACCTTGCAGTAGTAATGGGTTTATATATCTATTTGTAATAAAAGAATGTGACTGAATAGTGTATTTGATATAATATTGCAATGTAATTGTATATATTGTTGATATCAGAGCTTACCTTATTATTTTCTTAAAATTTTTAAGGATTATTGATGAAATAAATAGTATAAATATGTCATCTTCTCTTTTTTATCGATTATGATAAAACGTATTAGAATGTCCACCTTATACCATTTTTCTGACTCCATCACTTAGAGGGAAAACACCTTAACATTCATCTATATGTTCTCTCCTACTATACACAAAACATTAATACTTTTTGGATCTAATTAACTAATTATTTCAGTGTTGCCCTTGGATCAACTGGAGGTCTCAACCAATATTGGATTCACTATTAGTCCAACTAATCAGGGGCGGTTCAATGACATAGCCATCGACGCCGTCGTTTTAGGCACCCAAATTTGTAGGGCCCCCCATTTTAAGGATGTTTAATTAAGTCTAATATCATTTTTAAGATTTCAAATAAAATTTTTAGATCAATATTCAATTAAGTCCAATTTTAATTTTAGTTCCCAAAATAAAATTTTTAGACAGACATTCCATGAAATCTAATTTTATTCTTAGATCTCAAATAAAATTTTTAAAACTCGTGTTCGAGTAAGTTCACTTTTGCTTTTAGGGCCCCAAAAATATTTGAGACTCAGTTCAATTAATCTCAATTTTGTTGTTAAAGGTTCAAACAAAATTTGCTTACTCATTGGTTTCTCGGGTCTCTAAAAATTTGTAGGCAGAAATTGTAGATTCAAGTTAAAATAAGTTCAATATTATTTTTAAAAACCCCTGCACTAATGTATTTAGTTTCTGTTATAATAATGTTATTTAGTGATATAATATTTTTTAATATATTATTATCAACTATTTTGAGTAGCTTGAAACTTATTTCATTTATATTATAGTTTTGTCTAAAATTCAATAATGTTTTGAACAAAAAAATCTAGTAAATATTTTCGTATCTCAAAAGAACATAATATAAATAATATTGCATAATGATTTTCGTATCTCAAAATTTGTTTATTATGTCAACGGCACCTTTTTTTATTTGGGTAACAATTGCACCTCATTTAATCCTATTCTTTATTATATTAATTCTATGTAATTCTAGCTTTAGCCATTCTAAAGAACTGATAAGAATTACATGCATTGATGACCATCCTTCAAAACACAACACTCATAGTCGTTTAAATATTTAAATTACATCATCTTCAACAGTTTAAAATATTGGAGTAAATGATTATTTAACATGATATCAGAACATGAGGTCTAGTGTTTAAATCTCGATGTCACCTTACTTATTAAAAGATTTTCACGTGGTAGATTCAAAATATAACATGCACGTGAAGAGACGTGTTGAAATTTAAATATTTAAGTTATACTCATTTCAAAAATATAGTTATTTGACAGTATTAAGCATCCAAAGAGAGAGAGACAGAGAGAGGGAGGGGGGGGGGGGAATTATAGCCCACGTTTAACATATAGAAATTTTAATTTATTATTGCCTCGATACACACACATATTTCGCAGCAAATTACTATTTGGATATGCCAATCTTATTTATTACTTCATTACACCTTCGTGCTACACATAAGCGCGCGCATGCACACACATATATGGTAGCCTCTTATTCTAACGAAACCCAATGGGTGCCTAATTAACCACCATAAGGCCTTTGGTTATCGCAGTTGAGATTTGGGCCATATCTGACTCCAAGCATGTCACAGTATCTCTTATAGAAACCAATCCTGTCTTTTATCCAACGATTTGGCCCTTTACCGCATTCGATCCCGCCATTGATGATGTTGGTGATCAGGCCGTAGCCAGGTAAGCGGCCGGCTGCCGAGTCTGCCGCGGATGGCGTCCACCGGCCGGTGATGACGTCGTGGCTCGAAGGTTTTGGTGTTTGTGGTGTCATCCAAAACCAGAATGCTGTCTTGAAAGAAATAACTGGGTCTCTTGCCACAGCATCTGGGTTGTTTAGCAGATTCACCCCTATGGCTCTCCCTGCCGGACCATAGTTGTAGTTGCTGCCAAGTCATCATGGTCCAAACTCAATATCTTGTAATAAGATAAAAAGAAATTATATTTTTCTCACGTATTGTGAAAATTATCTTCAAGCTTGAACCATGAAAATAATAGCACGAAACTTACGTGTATCATCACATTCGTATAGGAGGGAAAAAGAGGTACGGGACACCCAAAAAGAAAATACTTACTAGGAAATTTGGATGGGACCTCGGCCATAGTACTTTTTACCAGGAGCGCATGGCCATTGTTGACTGGCAGCACAATAAGCCGGGGGGTTGCCTTGTTCTTCTATGTAGCAGTATCCCCATGCATATGGACCATCCGGTGCAGTTTCCCACCCACCTACGTTGTTAATCCATGATCATAATAAATATATACTACTTATACATAATCCTTTTCTCATTATTCTTTTCCATTTTAACAAAACTTTGAGTTTATAGTCTCTATACTCTCATTAACCTAGGGTTAATGAGAGTATATGGGAGTGATATGCTCAAATGTCAATGCCAAATTAGCAATTAGATTGAGCTGAATATATCAAACTTGAGGATGCTCACTTTTGCTCGATTGTGATTGATTGAGCTCGAGTTGAAACTTTGCTCGGCTGAAGATTGTGATCATTTGAGTTAAAACTAAACTCAATTGCCCAGCAAAAAACTCTATAAGTAAAATCATAAAACTTAATAATTGGTCCTAAAAATAACAAATTTCTCAATAGAAAACCCCCAAGTTCAATATAATTATAAATTAACCAGGATTTGAACTTTTCTTGAGTTGAATGGACCTGAACCTATTTAAACAGAAGCACACATTACAAAGATTTTGTAGGTTCACAAAATAAGAGATACGATATGACTTTTGTCACATTATATCATGTACATATATAAAATTGATGACCCGATCGAAAAGAAGGCATATAATTAATAGGATAAGACTAAGTTCGTACCAGTAGTTTCATGGGAAGTTTGTCCCAAAAAGGCAGCAATTTCTCTCTTACGGGTAACAATGTCACCAGTTGTTCCAAAACCTCCAAAGGATTTGGCTGCAGTTATGAAAGCCTCGTAAGTGTAGAAGCCTTTTCCAGGGCAATTGGCGTCACCACGATGCTTCAGCATCTCCTCAAACATGGATTTACTTATAATGGAACTAACATCCCCTTGAGACAAGCCTCCTAACACCATGGACATCATCAGACATAACACCATCACTACCCAAAACCTCATTTTCTCTCCTTTAGTTTGGTTCTTCTTCTTCTTCTTCTTCTCTTAAGTTGTGGGGTCCAAGAAGAGGAGAAGTGGGATTATTTATAGGCATGGTGGTCTTTGTTTTTTTTCTCTCTTTTTTTTTTTTTATTGCGGGGGTTTTGGGGAGAGGAATGAGTAATGAGGAAGACTAGACCAAAGAACTAATTCTCATTTTCAAACTTTCAAAAAGATTGAAACATTTTTATTTGTAGAAATCGAAATGATCGATAATTGACTATTAAAATTTATATGTTTTGAGTTATTTAAATATATTTCAAAATATTTCAGTGTGTTTTGACAAATGTTTTGCAAATAAATAGTCATTTTCAATGTTAAACTTTCAAAAAGATTGAAACATTTTATTTTCGTAGAAATCGAAATGAATCGGTAATTGACTATTAAAATTTATATGTTTTGAGTTATTAAAATATATTTCAAAATGTTTCGGTGTGTTTTGACAAATGTTTTGCAAATAAATAGTCATTTTCAATGTTTTTGAATTTTTTCTAAAATATTTTGAAAATATTTCTATCTTGGACCGAAAATGATGCACGAAGCCAAAATTTGGTCCTGGGCTATACTCTTTCGATAACATTATAATAATAAATCAACCATTGTTTGGCAGGTCTTCGTTCCTTTTAACGTGTGGAATCATCACCATGAATCCCCTTCCTAGTCATTTTCAATACGATCCGCTTCCGAGTGCACAAGGGATCAACTTGCTAATGGGTTAGAAAAATCAACCTAAACTGTATAGAGACTAACGGTGAAAAGTTGATGTAGTGGTATTACCACCTAGTCCTGGGTGGATGGCGTACTTTTGTTGATGAGGGCGATCATGTTGCTAGTCTTAGGATGCATTGCCGCTGCTAATCCGATCACAGCTGATCAAGTTAAACTTGGGCTCGACTAGATTTTAGTTTGTTTTGGTTTATTCAAATAATAAAATGAACAAAATTACAAAAGTAATAATTGAGAGACTAAAATGACAATTCACAAAAATTTTAAGGACAAAAAATAAGTACAAAGAGTAATGTTGTGAACATAATTTTCTACATTAATGTAGACACACACAGAGATATATATATATATATATAGTTAATTAAATTTTTATCACTATATATTTTCTCCCTAAAAAATATTATATAATTCAATTTTATTACATGTTCAATTATTTAATATTTTATTAATTTATAATTTAATACAATTTTTATTCTATACATTATTCATACATGATAAGATATATATGTTAAAAAAATTTTATCTTATTATTTATTTTGAGAAAATTTTGACACTATTTTTAAGAAAATAATAAATAAAAATTAATTTTAAAGAATATAATCAAATAAATTAATTTTAAATTTAATATCGTGAGATCAAATTTTTATATTTTTGAATTTTATATTTTATCCTCTTTTCGGCAAATATATATATATATATATATATATTCCGAAGGTCACTTCAAGATCATCATTAGTGCTTAGTGGGTTTTGCAGATTCCACGTTACCTTTGACAAACAGTTCAGTGGGGTTTGTGAATTCTTCGTAAAGCTTGACCAAATGCCTCAAGTGCTTTAAGAGATGCAAGAGAAATGAGGGCTTATGACTAAGGGTGTCAACCGTAATGATTCGTTTGGAAGGAAAAATTAAATTTGTTTAAATTTTTAATTTTTTAAAAAAATATAAATATATATTTTATCATTATATTTATATATGAAATTAATGTATACATAATATATGTATACTAGTTATTGTATGTGTCTGAAGGTACAGAATAATAAAAAATGGTAAACAATAAACATATTTGTATTCATATTCAAAATCAAAACACAAACATAGAGAAGAGTTAAAATAATTTAATCATCGAATTGTAGTGGGGGTTAGAGGTGGTGGGCGGCAGTGGGGGTGGTAGGAGACGGTGATGGTTGTGGTGGGAGACAATGATCGTGGTGGCAGCGAGGAAGACGACGATGGTGGTGGCGGTGGCAACGGCGGCAATGATGGTGGGGGTGAGGGTGGTGGGCGTGCAGTGGTGGAGGTGGTTGCAGTGGCGGTGGCAGTAGTGGTGCGGGTGACGGTGGCAGTGGCAGGGGTGGCGGTGGTGATAGTGGTGGTGGTGACGACGGCGGCGACGGTGGTGGCTGCAGTGGTGATGGTGGTGGTGACGGTGGCGGCAGCGGTGGCAGTGGTGGTAGTGGGACAGTTTCAAACACTTTCTTTTAAAAATATTTATGAGAAATACTTAGGGGCCTATTTTAAAAATACTTTTAAAAGGTCACTCCAAACACACCTCTTAGGGGCTTATTTTTCTTATTAAATTTAAAGTGTTAATATTAGTCGTTAAATTAACTTTAAAGTAAAATTTAAAGCGATTTCAACCGCGAATAACAAAAGTCATTTTGTTTATCTTTTAAAATTTGAATTATAAGCTATTTTATTATATATAAGACTAGCAATTGCTCGTGCCTGAAAAACACTATGTACCATAATAAAATCACCGGAATAAAAAATTAAATCCACAAAAATTAGCAAACAAAAAAAAAATTATATCACCCACAAATACTTCCATAGCATCAACTTGACTATTACATCAATATTTTCAACCCTATTAAATTCTAACATAATAACTCAATACTCACAACAATGAAAATAAAACATTGCCCCTTAAATGGAATTACAATATAATGAAAATTAAAAGCCAAATTTATGTCAGATTGATAGGATTAGCGCAACTACCACCTCAAATTTTGCCGTGAATTGCCAGGTAATTTGACTCTTGCACTTCGCTCATCTTCGAGTCAATTACTTTTCAATCTCGGAGGAAAACAAACAACTCAAATCATGGAAATAAGTAATAGATGAGGTGGCGATAATGAAAGACATAATCAACTAAGATAACCTCTCCTTAGGGTCATCCAACCCATCCCTTAATTAGTATGAGAGTAGTGACTTTTGCCGCTTAATTGATGCCCCAAAAAAACCCATTGGATAGTGAAAACAAACCATATCTTTATAAAGATGATAGGAGATTCTACCAATCCACTCCTCTATTAGTTTTACTTTCAAACAAAAATTAGGTACAATATCAAGATCTTGCATAACATATAATTCCTTAACTTGAACATAGGAAAGGGTATAGACTATTTTCCAAATAAAAAAAATAGCTCTCTTTTTTCAAAAAATTAATACCAAAATAAACATCAAAACTTAGAACCCAATTGTTATTTCAAACATTCGAAAGGAAGGCAGAGAGAGGGAAGAATAAGACAGAGAAGTTTTAGGGGAGATTGAGATTTGGGGCAAATTTAGGGCAAGAATTGAGGGTGAAAAATTAGAGCTAATTTCCTCTTGAAATAAAATCCTTGAGACGATAAGTTGGAGGGCTTCAAAAGGAAGGCATAGCGGTATTTCGAATTCACCTCCTCCAATTAGGAAAGAACTGATTTTCCGAATCTATATCACTACAAACAAAGAGACTAAGTGAGAGATTAGATTCAGTATTTGAAATATTATAGATTGGGAAATAAATTATAAATGAAGAGAATGCGATTGAGGGCTTGATTTTGGGGGAATTAAAAATAGAAATTGTGGTGAGCGGGAAACTTTTTTTTATTAATGAATCTCGTGTGTTGGATTACAAATTTTGAGATAATTTAAGACATCAATAGTTTGAGATAATTTTATATATCATTGTCCATTGGATAATATCTTTTGTAGTCACAAAACGATCCAATCTGCTCTTTGTCTATTGGATTCGAAATCGTTATACTTTATTATATAAAAAGATATATAGATAAATAAAATATATTTCAACTCAAATAATTAATTTTTCATCTATTTTCTTTCAAATTTTGGAGGGATTGATTTTGGTAGGTTAGAAAGAAAGTTCATTTATTTACTTTCTCATCTTTCCTATTTTCTTTCCTTACCAAATAAGATGTTTTATCTATCCCTATAATTTTCCATCCTTCCAACTTTTCATCGTACGAAACAAACCAAAAGTGTCGAGTTTTAATTGAGTACGTGTGAAAAACTATTTAACTCGTACACAATTTGTTTAATTAAATAGGAAAAAATCTATAAATCGAACACAATTTATTTATTAAACGAGTTACTTGACACGACTCGTTTAACCCATTTAATAATTTTTTTATTATTATTAAAATTTTTTAGCTAATCTAATTATCAAACAACATATATTATTTTGGCTAAATTTTTTTGAATAATTATTAATTTATTATTATATTAATTTTATTTAAACAGGTGAAAAATATATATATATTACCGGAATATAACTCATTTATTAAATGAGTCTAACGAGTCTCCCATACTACCATTCGCACCCGTTAAGATCTAACTCAAACTCTTTTTACTCGTCGATATCTATATCTCAAATTGGCGTTCTTTTGCAACCGATCATCCAATTAATATTTGGATTACATCATTGTCCGTCAACTTACGAAAAATGCTATGATACCCAGAGAAAAAAATTAGAATTGTACTGTCTTTTTTTGGATAAGTAAAAAATTATAATTGTATTGTCATATGCAACTTTTTAGGTGGTTTTGTACAATTTTTTGGGGATCAAACTAAATAAGTTTTTGTTTTTCGACTGATTCTAAAAATTTAAGATACCCCAAAAATCAAAAAATTGTAAATTTAACCCCCAAAAAATATAACTTCAATTAACTTATTAGGATCAATTCTTATTTTTTTCATAGGGTATTAAAAAATAAGCTTAATATGGTATCAAAGCAAAAATATCTAAGTTGAGAGCATACCAAAATATATCTAATATTACAATTAGGAAGTTGAATTCTCAACTTATAAAAGCATAATAACGATTAAAATTTATTCATTTTTTATTTATTTCGATTTAATGGTACAAAATTCATCTCAAAATTTTTTTTCTCGCTCAAAAACATCATATTGTCTGCACAATCCCCAATGTATGACAATTTAATTAACACATTCTCTAA